AACAAGAACAGCTCTGTCAGTAATCACAACAAACACAAGTGGACTAAACTTGCCAATTAATGTTAAAAGATAGAAATTGCCACATTTGGTTAAACAAACAAACAAACTACTTCTATGACGTTTATGAGCACATCTAAACCAGAAGGACTTATAAAAGTAGATAATAAAATGATTGAGACATAGATACCAGGCAAATGCCAACGAAAAGAAAGTCAGGGAAGTTAGATTAACATCAGGTTAAATAAAATTTCTCCATAAACCTGGGCTACTCAGAGGCGAGGTGACAAAGCTTGCAGTCACTGGAGGTCATGGCTAATAGAGACCCTAGAGTAGCACTGTTCAATAGAACTTACTGCAATGATGGAAATGTTCTATAGCTGCGCTGTTCAATACAGTAGCCACTAGCCACATGTGGCTATCGAGTACTTAAAATGTGGCCAATCCAGCTGAGGAGCTCAATTTTTAATTTTGTTTAACTTTAATAAACTAAAATTTAAAGAGCCACAACACTAGAGATCAATCAATCCAAACCTCTCATTTAACTGAGGCCTAGAAAAGGGACAAAGCTATCCAACACCCGAGAGGAAACACCAAGCTTAGGTCTCCTGACTCCTAATTAGCATGCTTTTCCAGTACCCCAACACTTTCCAACCTGTTCTACTGCAATACCCCTAAAAGTAAGTCTAGAGGTATAGTATGAAACGGTCTACTGCATGTACAAAATTTCTTTGAGAACTCATATTAAGAAGTACATTGGAATTTTTCATAATAGTAATAATCTCCACCATCATTTATTGAGTGCTTACTTTATGTGACAATTATGATGATGACGTTTTAATGATGACGATGTTAATAATGATTAACATTATAAAGTATTTATTATGTGTCGCTTTTTTAAACACTTTATATGTATTCACTTACTTAATCCTTACAAAAACCTTATGAGATAGAAATCCTATCTCCTTTTTGCAGGTATGGAGGCTGAAGTTAAATAGCTTGCTCAAGGTTATACTGCTAGTGACAGGGCTGGAACTAAAACCCCAAACTTGGTTGGATTCCAGAGTCTGTAGTTGTAACTATTCACTACACTTTATTGCCTCTCCAGCAGAGATTAAATGAATAAATTAATGAAGGAATGCAGCTTCACCAAAGCAGAACGAGAACACCAACTTCATATCTAGAAAATTTGGGTCCTTTATTTTCCCCTTCAAAAAGAACGTAAAAGGGTACAGTGTTTACCTTTTACTAAAATCACCTACTCCCTAGCACCACCCATTCTCACACTCATGTCAACAGGGAACATCTAAAGACAGTCCAATTTCCTGAAGTGTCACCTGCATAGCCACTTAATTTATGCAAGTTATCTGCAAAGTAAGCTAAAGTTTCCCATGTCAGCAACTTTTTCCCTAAGATGTTAATTTTAAAAAAAAAGGAAAAGCAAACATTTTTAAACACAGCATTTACATCAGAATTTCCAAGTACTTCATCCTAAAATTGTTTTAATGAGCATAAGCTAAGGACATCAGAAAACTATCATCTACCCCCTCCCAACTGATGAAACCAAAATAACAAAAGGTCAAGTGTCAGAGCTGGCAGCCAAGCCTCTAAAACAGTGACCTCTGTATCTGAGAGGAAGAATAACATAGTGGCTAAACAATGTCTGTCTGCAGTCAAACAGACCTGAGTTTGACTAATACCTAATTATTTAAAATACCTAATCCATACAGTTGTTATGAATGTGAACAGGACATCACGTGGAAGGTAAACATTTCATACATTTTAGTGCCAAATTTTTATTCCAGAGACTTAACAAAGTCATCCAATTCTGTTTCAGGTAGAAGAGCATATGAACCGCTCTCACTAGCAGCTTCCTAGTTTTTCCTTTAAACTCTTCAGGGGAGTTTCTGCACTGAGAGGCCAGACTGTTGTACTGGTTAAGGGCACAGGCTCTGGGATTTGTATTCCAGCTAGTTCACTTACTAACTGTGTGACTCCTGTGCCTCTTCATTTTATGTTCTTCATCTGTGAAATAGGGATGACAATAAAAATATTATCCATCTCATAGGATTATTATGAGGATTAGAATAGTCAATATGTGAAAAACATACAGAACAGCATCTGGAAGATAGTACACGTACAGTAACTGTTAGTCATTACACTTCTCCCAAAGTTAATATATTAGATTTTTTAGCCCATGGAGAACAACGACATTATTTTAGAACTCTAGGATGTTAGAGCTGGAAGGACTCTTAGGAAGCATTTCTGGACCCAACTCTTTCATTTAATAAATGGTCACCGGAAAAGACCAGAGCTGACTAAATGGCCTTACCAGGATTAAAAGCCAGGCCTCCTAATTTCTTTCTAGTGCTCACTCTACACCACTGTGCTTCCTCTTCTCAATGAAAACAGTAGAGGTCATTCAGTCTCCTGGCAAACCATCAGCCTATCTTCTGGAAAAAGCCAGAGCTAATTAAATGTCTGGGAAGAAATCCCACTCATCAAGATTTTCAGGAACCACTGCCTTGGGTAACACTTTTTTGGGAGGTGGGATGGGTAGAGTATAATCTATTTCCTAAGAATTCATACCCAAGAGCCACATAAAACAAAAGTCTGAAATATTATTTCCTTTTAGGAATAATTAAATATTCTTCCAAGGGAGGAAATAATACAGTTAACATTTACTACATATTTTCTAAGCATATGAAAGATATTAAGTGCCTTTTGTTTTTTCATTGATTCCTCACAACCCACCCCCCTACCCTAAATTGTCCTTGTATATACTCCTGAAGTCACCTGATATATTCCTGCTCAAAGTACATATCATGCTGTCATGTAATTGATTGCTTACTTGTCTTAATATCTCACCAGACTGTAAGCTGAAAAAGGACTGGGGTCACAATAATCATGTTTACCATTCATTTATTTCTTCTTTCAATGAATATTCCGGAGCATGAACAAACAGAAATGATCCTGGCTCACTATGCCACATAATACTTACCAAAGATGACTGCAACAATATCTCCCTTCCTACACACTCTTTTTACAATGTGACCTCAACATACTTCCGATTGGGGTGGTGGAGTTAATGTCCCTTCCCCTTGAACCTGCCCCTACAGAGTACAGTGGAAGTGATTCTATGTGACTTGTAAGGACAGATGGTAAAAATGCCATGCATTTCCTCCTTGTTATCTTGTGGGACTCGTTCTTGGAATCCAGCTGCCACACAGTGAGGAAGCCTACATTAGCCCATGCAGAAAGACCACACAGAGAGCTAACCAGCTCAGCTGAGGCCCCAGCCATCACAGAACAGAGACAAGCCTTCCCCACTGTGCCTTGTTCGGATTCCTGACCCACAGAATCTTAAGCATAATAAAATGATTTATGTCACTAAATTTTGGGGTGGTTTATCATGCAGCAATGGTAACTGGAACAACCACACAGAGCTTCATGTCTAACACAGAACAAAGATACTGAACACATGACTCCCAGGTATTGCCTGCACCTAATACAGTAACTAGAACACAGTAAATTATTTGTTGAGTGTCTAAGGTAGTTATTATTATGCCATTTTGCAGATAGGAACTGAGGCTTTGAGAGGTTAAGCACCTTGCCCATGGTCAGTGGCAGAACAAAACTCACATCTAAACACACATTCCTATACACTACACTGTCTCCCTTAGTACTTACAATTTCACTGTAAACACACAGCAGTCTGTTTTAAAATGGGATTGTCAGTATTTAAAACATTCTGGCCTAATAGGATTCATCGTGCAGTTTCATCACTGAAACTGGAAATCCACATATCACCTTCTCGGAAGAGCTTTCCCTGACCTTCCTAACTCAAGTAATGCCAGCTCCCTCATTCTCCCCAGCCTTTCTACTTCCCACTTCACCACAGTTTTGTTTGCTTACCAGCACTTACCCCTAGCTGAAATTGTCTTGTTTATTAATTTGTTCATGAGTCTACTCTCTCTGACTTGAATATAAGCTCCACGAGAGCAGGAACCTTGGCTGTCCTCTTCACTGCTACATCCCTATAGTGCCTAGGACAGTGCCTGAAATATGGCAGGTGATCAAAGGTTATTTACTGAATGGAGTGATTGCATCCAGGCACATGTCCACCCAATCTCATTACCCACCAATAAAAGTGCAAATAGGGAAGATAGAAGAAAACAATTAAAAACAGCAGAACTTCAGCAGAATCATTCCACAGAGTAAGGTCAGTACAAAAAAATGGAAGGGGAGTTGGGATCCATGCTGCAACTCACGTTAAAAAAGCATAAACCCTGGGTTCACAGTCAACTAACTTTCAACTAAGAAAGAGCTGTTGAGGAGAAAGGTGTTGAAGATTAGAACGAAGATGTAGGTAATGGATGGAGTAAGGGGGTCACACCTCCTAACCTCCACTCATAACCATTGATCCCTCACTTGTCAAAAAATTCAGTTTCTTCAGACACACTGGCTGGACCACATCAAGGACAATTGTTGGTAACCTTCCAACAGGAGTCCTTCTACCCTTCATCTGGCCCTTTTTAATGCACCAGACACGTCTCCCTGGGATGCAGGTGCTGTCACCCCAGGGCAAGCAGGAGACAGTAATGTAGCTCTTCAGAGAAGAGAGGAGAGGAATCTTCACTCAGTGTATGCAGGTACCCAACGGCCCCATTTCTCCCGGGAGGGAAGGTCACCTTTCGTAAGAACCTACCATATGCTAGGCACTGTATGCTGGGCTCCTAAACATGCTTTTCCTAAGGACCATTCTTTCACCCCACCCAAGAATTTGGAGAGGTCTCAAATATAAACTTTCCCGTCTTAACATCCCCCAGACCCGCTACTGTCTACCCCAAGAAATCTTCAAACTCCAGGAGCGGTTGGGGAAGATAAAAAGAAATCTGGCACGGCCTAAGAGATAGAACAGGAGAGGTACAGTGTTAGGGCAAGAAGAGGGTTGTATTGAGCTGGGGCCCGAAATCAGTAAAGATTAAGGAATGCGGTCTGACCCTTTCCAAGCCCACTATGTCCATCAGAAGAGGTGACGAGGAGCAGGAAACTGAAGCCCATCAAACAGGTGGCCCCGAGACGAGGCCGCATCTCCATGGTAGTAGGTGTGTGGGGCCACCAGGCTGAGCGGACACAAGGCCGGAGAATTAGCAGAAGGTCCGCGCCGCTCCCCAAGCAGGGCTCAGATCAACCCCTCGCGTTCCCAGATTTTTTTTTTTTTTTTTTTTCAAACGCTGAAGGAAGTGATGTTAGACGGATGTGGGTGGTGCCTCCGTGGTCCGGTTCGGGATGGACTGAGTTTAAAGGTGCAGATCACGTAGAAGTGTGCGGGAGCTGTTCTCGAGCGCGAGTTGCTTTCCCCTGATTCTGTATGTCCAGGTCGGGGGACCCACCGGGAAAAGGTGGGCAGAGATAGTGGGGGCAGGGGAGAGATTCGGGAAAACCGTTGCTGGTTGCGTCCACCAGCCAGGTTAGCCCCTCCCCCCAAGAACCGCTACAATTAACATTCAAAACGCAAATTATTGATCGGTGATGTCAGTCGCTCCCAACATTGACCTCGGATTCTCCTTCCCGCTCTGCAAATAAAAGATTAGACAACTGGATTTCATTGTTAGGTTCCTGCTCAGGTCTTCGAGGAGACCTGGCAAACCTGTTCTGCGGTGCATTGTCTCGTGACTTGCAGGCATGCCCTTTCCCGATGGAGAAGCACTGGACCTTATTTTTCTTTGCAAGTGCAAGTCTTCCACTCAGCGATGATGTAACAAACTGATGCAAGCTCCGACAAAACCAAACTTAGGGCCTCTTATTACAAAACTGGCCGAGGTGGACTTAGGGAATCAAAACCTAAGTCTCTACAGTCATTTAAAATATAAAGCCTCTTCTGGTTAATCTATTTTTTCTTGTGGGTTGAGTATTTCTTGACAGTTTTCCCCTCTGCTGCATAAGAGGTCGAAATTTCTTGTCTTTCCTCCCGGTACTGGTTGAACCCAACAGTGCGTACTTAATGCATAGTGAAAGACATCGAACAAAAGTACACAAACAAAAAACACACACCACCCTTTTACCAGGTTCCCTACAAATTGCAGGCACGGACACAATGGAACGCTCGGGAGACGGCAAGCTCCAGGATGCAGCGCGGCCACCTGCACCTGCCGCCAATAGAAATATTGGGCTGCGCAGAGCAGTCTGGGCCTTGTAGTTCGGATATGCGCTCCCGGGATAGGCCGCTCTGGAGAGGGAGGGGTGGGGCCGCCTGTGTCACGTGGGCCCCGCTCCCGCCGCCGCCGTCGTCTTTCTCTGTCTTGGCTGAGGCAGCCATCTTGTTCTTGCCGCGTGCTGGTGTTGGAGGACCCTCCCTGCTTCAGGTGAGACCCCCGGCGGTCCCGCCACTCCACGGCCATAGGCCGCTGCGCACGGTCTCCCCCCGCCCTCTTCTTCCGACATCGGCCAACCGCTCGGGCTGCCACTTCCGCCGTGGCGCGGCGAGTGGGGGCGGAGGCGGCTGGCTTGGCCTGTCGGTTACCGGCGGCGCAGCTGGGGGTCGGCACCTGAGGGAAGGTCCCCAGTACCACCGCCCCGTGTGGTGGCGAGCTGGCCCGCGCTGTTACCGCCCAGATCCAGACCCAGGAGGCGGATGGACCCCCCTCCTCTGTGCGATTACTCATTATGCACAACAGTGTTGTGAGCTTTGAGCTTTATACTGCATGTCTGTTGTCATCTCGTTTGATCCTCCTAGTCTACAGATAGGGAGACCGAGGTTAGCAACCCCGCCCGCAAGCCCGTGGGATTGATCTCTATTGCAGCGCCTTCACCTTGTAATGGCAGTATTTGTTTACAAGCCTGCCTCCCTTTGAGACATTGCCTTGCCCATCTTTATAACCCCATCACCTGGTGCCTGATGATTGACCGGCAGGCACAGTGTTACACAGCTAGTGAATGGCGGTTTCAACTTCTGTTCCCACGTTCTTGCACTTTATCATAGCTGTCTTCCTGGGAGTGGTAACAGTAGTTACCAATTATTGAGTATCTTCTGTGAGCCATACCCTGTGCTTGATAATATAACCTTTAACCCTCAAAACAACCTTGTGAAGTATGTGGTGGTATACCTTTCCTATGCATAGGGAATACAAGTTCAGAGAAATAAAATACCTTTCCGAAGCCTTAAGTGGTAGAATCTTAGTCCTTCTGATTCCAAAACCTGTGCCTCTCTTAGAGAAACCCCGCATAATAAAAAGTCCGGACTAAAGGTTGAAATTATTTTTTGTCTCTGTGTAAACGTGATGTATGTGAAAAAGCCTACCACAACGCTTGGAACGTAGGCCCTCAATAAATATTGATTAACCTCATTATTTACATTCTTTCTTGAGTCCTTGAAGAAAGTGATAAAAGATACTTGGATCCCCAAGGAAGGATTCATTAATCATGTGGCTATAGGAAGTTACTTCTCCCTTTTGGGCCTAGGAAGGGACTTCTTCCAAGCCCTCATTTCCTGATCAATTTAGTTGGGAAGAAGGTGAATTGTTTTGTTTGTAATTTATACCCCGCTGCTGCTAGGAGGTATTTGAGATGGCCTCACCTGTGAGAGAGGAGTGATGGATATAATAAAGATTGATTAATAGTAGAGAATTAAACCAGGTGATCTTTGAGGTCTAGTCCAGATTCTGAGTTTGACATTTCTTTTCTCATAGACTGAGTCCAAACTTCTTTACCACTTGAATTCCACACACCCCAACTTGCTAATAGACAAAAGACCGACCACCCTTCTTCCTCCCCTACTGCTTTGAGCTTCCAACCTCCCTAAAATGCTTTTTCTCTGAGATATTCCTTGGGAACAAGATTTCTCAATACTATTATCCTGATCACCTGGAATGGAATCTGTTCTTTCATATACACATTGCTTTAAAGAGTTAATTTTGTTCTTGCTTTTCTATCAAACAAGTCAGGACTCTTTGTCTTGACTTAATAACCTCCATCTCTTCTCTTGGGGATTGTTACTTCAAAATACAGAAGAGTGCCAAAGGGTTTACCCTGTGTCTAGTTCTAATATTTTCACTTACCTCCTTTTTTGCAAGAAATTCTTTAGGCTCTTTGTTAGTTCACTACACCTCATGGCCACATTCTTTTGAGCAAAGTGAATATTGGTCCTGTTCTGTGGATATTTGAGTATAGATATTGGGATTTACATCAGCAAATTTAAGACTCTGGCAGAGCTGAGATCGGCACACACCTAAAATTTCTTGTTTTGTACTCTAAACATTCTTCCTCTTATGAAAGAGTGTTTTTAGCTGTGTGAGCATTGTAATATGGTGCTGAGCAAAGAGTGAGGAATAAATTCTGAGTGTTATTTGGGAACAGAAATCATTTAGCCTTAAAGCAGAGATATATCCTGGTTAGTGCCGAAGTATAGTGTCACGATACAGAATGGTTAGTAATTATATAATCTTTGACTCTCTTTTTTTTATCTTTTAAACGAAGAAAATGTCTTTTGCATCTGTGGATCCCCATACTGGCCAGCTGCCAAAAAAATATATATATATATATCTTTTTCATCTGAATGATGATTATACAGGAGTTAGAGAATTGGCCAGAAAAGGTTTGATAACAGTCTAGTTTCTTATTCCCTCCCTCACAACTTAGTAGTGATCTGTTCATCCACAGAATAAGTAAAATAAGACTTTTAAATTGTCTTGTCTTTGTTTATATGGTGTGAAATGTTATGGCCCTTATAAACTTCAGAATGTTTTTTTCCTTAGTAGGAATATCACCGACCAAACTAGGATACATGACGTTATAATGTTCTTAGAATCTTCAAAATTAAGATTAGCTTTAAAAAGCTTATTATTAAGAGTCTTCCCCCCCCAAATATTTAGTATTAATTTAGCAGAATTATGTTTTTGTCACACTATGCATTGAAGCATTTGACTCTGTATGCAAGAACATCTTGACAAGTATGACATACTATATTGGTTCAAGGTATTGAATGAACTCTGGAGAGTGCTGCAGAACTGACAAATGTCTGGAGATCTGGTTCTTTCCCCTTATTACCACACCATTTGACCTTGAATGGAGGTCATGACTGCCTCATGTCTTGATAGCTACACAGCCTATTGTTGAATTTCTTCTTTGTCCAGGTTCTTTTGTTTTGTTTTGTCATCTTTATGGCTTATCAGAAATACAGAATGTGATTTGGGAGGAAAAAATCAACTTGAAAGTTTTACTAATAACATTTGGTAACAGCTCTCTGCTGTAAAAAAAAATCTCTGGGGGAAAAACTGGTTTGCCTACAGAGATTTCATAATTGGTGAGGTTTTACTGAATGCCAAAAGACTGAATCATATTTTAGGGAGGGATCTTCAAATAGGTGACTTTGAATTCCATTCTGTTTTCTGTTTGTATATTCAACTCTCTCATGGTATTATTTTATTTTGGTTTTTTTTTTACAGTGTCTGTTTTATGAAACTGGAACAAGTTTTAATATTTATTAACAAGCATGTAGACAGTATTAATATGATCATGGTGTTGATGCATACCACAAGCTCAGTGAGCCAGTAGGTACTGTTTACATAAACAATTTTTAAATTTTGGTAAAACAGTGACTTTAACAAATCTATTTTTCCCCCCCTAGATTTACCAACAGCATGAATCAAGAAAAGTTAGCCAAACTTCAGGCTCAGGTCCGGATAGGGGGCAAGGTGAGTGTGGCATAAGAAAAATTGGTAGGAGAATGCGTGATTACCAGATAGTATTATTATTTTAGATTTGTGGTAGTTGAAAATCTAAAATATTTTCAATAATCAAGATCAAACCACATTCCAATTTGAAAATAACTTGTGTAGATCTAAAATAGGTAACTAGGGAGACTTTTCTCTCTGATGGTGAAGTGGAAATAGCCACCTTCGTTTGAATCCTAACTCCTAACATGTGCTAATTATATGACATGAACAAATTACCCAACCTTGTTAAGCTTCCATTTTCTCATCTTCAAAACAGAAATAATCCTACATGCTTCTAAACATTAGAGTAATATTTATAAAATAGCCAGTATTTATAAATTTATAAATATGTACAGAACACCTAACATAGTGTCTGCCATGGAGTAGATGCTTAATAAATGATAGCCATTAATATGTTAGACTCACCTGCAGGGCATACCGGATGTTAGGGTTACCTTACCTTGACTGGTGCAGTTAGGTTTATAAGAGGTTTAACTGGAGATACTCAAGCTAATTGTTCATTTTGTTCATTGCTAGGTTTTTTTGCCAAGTTCCTACCTTTTCTTCCATGTTGGTGAATATGAACATGAACTTTCTTATCTCATATATTTTAAAGCCTAAGGAAGACCTAGTTCCAAGCACCAAAAATCTTTATTCCCTTCAGGTGTGGCCCCAGGCTCAAGGAGAATATTCTGTCCTTACCTCTGCCTAATACAATCTTTGTAAAAGGGAAAGGGAGGACAGTAGTTACCTGAGACATAGGGAGGGAGTACGTAGGACACTACTTTATATAGCAGGCCACTGTGTCATTTACATTGATGATAACCACAACTTCTGGGGATGGGGACATGAGAGGGAAAAGGGATGAAATGACTAGTACTTTCTCCTTCTTTCATAGTGATACAGTTATCTGATTCTGGATTTATATTAATACACTCATGTAACCACAGTAGTCACATTGTAGCATCAAGTGTGATATAATGTACCAATACAAAAACTAAGGATATTCAAGAACAATAGAGTATACCTGGAAAAGCTTTATGCAGCACATCACTATTATGTATTTCAAATCAGTGGTGGTTGGTACATTCATTCATTTAGCTCCTGTTTATTGAGCACCTACTGTGTGCCAGGCACATAGTAGATAAACAAGTCAAGCTCTCCTCCTCTTGACACAGCTCAACTGGACAGAGAGACATGCTTACAATTACAATACAGAATAGTGAGTGTTATAATGAAGTACAAGTTGCTCTTGCCTAGGAAAGACAAAGAAGTCATCACTGAGCTGGTTAAAGAATAAACAAGAATTTATCACTAGGCAGATAGGTGAGAGGATTTGTGGGAGGTAGGGTAAAAGGGGCTTATTGTTCTCACACATGCAAAGGCACATAGGATGCTGAGATAACGTGGTACTTAATGGAATGGCTTGCTTTAGTTTGGCACAACTAGAGTTTAGAGTATATAATGGATAGAGAATAGTAGGAAATGAAATGACCAGGTGGTTTAGGGTTCTGTCGTAGTTTAACATGCCATACTAAGGAGCTTGGGATTTTATCCTATTGGCATGAGCAACTATTGAAGGATTTTAAAAAAGAAATAACAGCCATTTTAGAAAGGTAACTGCTGGCAATGTGGAAAGTGGAATGAAACAGAAGTTTGGCATAGAGGAGAACAATTGAGAGGCTCTTACTATAGTATATGGGACATAAATTTAGGGATTGGACTTGACATGACTTAATGACTGGATGGGATATGGGGGGATAAAGCTCATACAGAAAAGTCTGGAGTGATACCCAGATTTCTGGTTTTAGAGACTGCATATATGGTGGTACCACCAGCTATATTAACTTAGGAAATATAGGAAGAATAGATTGGTGGACTGATCATCTTTTAGACATGTTGAATTTGGGGTGCTGAGGATCATTTGATTTGTGGTATACAGCAAGCAATTGAGCTATCCCTGGGTCAGGAATGCTTCACAGGTAAATGACCATCTATATAAACTGTCATCCTTCAGCAACTGGATATCATTACAGTCTCTGCTACCAGAACTCTCTTCTACTCCCATCAGAGTTGCTGAGACTGAAGCCCCTGCCTTTCCTCTATAAGGCTGATTCCCTGAGTACTACTGCAGGAGCTACCCAGAGATTGAAACCACCATTCCTTTCCCCTTATTCCTACCGGTTTCAGAAAGATTTAGCCCTCAAGACTTAGGCTGCTTTTGGTAGTGTTTTAGGTCTGCTTTAGATTACATTTTTCTAAATTAGTCCAGGAATTTGATCTACTATTTTAAATAGTTTTTTCTTTTTTTTTTTAAAGATGACCGGTAAGAGGATCTTAACGCTTGACTTGGTATTGTCAGCACCAAGCTCTCCCAAGTGAGCTAACCGGCCATCCCTATATAGGGATCCGAACCTGTGGCCTTGTTGTTATCAGCACCACACTGTCCCAAGTCAGCCCCGGGCCGGCCCCTTATTTTAAATAGTTTTTAGGGGCCGGCCCGGTGGTGCACTGCTACAGTGCGCCACTTGGGAGTGCAGCGGCGCTCCCGCCGAGGGTTTGGATCCCACATACAGACCGGCCGCTCACTGGCTGAGCGAGGTGCGGGAGCAACACCGAGGGTTGTGATTCCGTTGCCGGTCCCGGTCCGGTACGGGCGCGACACTGAGGGTTGCGATCCGTTGCCGGTCACGAAAAAAGACAAAAAGGAAAAAAAAAATAGTTTTTAAATGCAAAAATGTATTTAGAGTTTCAAAGTATCAATTTAGAAATGCATGTTTTCTATCTCAGTAAGTAGTATAATTTTCACCCTGTTTGATCAGGCCAAAATACTAAGCATCATTCTAGATTCCTCTTTTCCTCATATCTCACATCTAATCCTTCAGCAAGTCATGTCATCTCTTGTGAGAATCTGACACCTCATCGTCTCTACTTCCACAACCCTCATCTCTCGCCAGGACTACTATATGAGCCTCCTGACTGGTCTCATGATAGTCCATTTTCCACACAGCAACCTTAGTCATAAATAAATCAGAGCAAGTCATGTCCATGCTTAAAACCTTTCGGTGGCTTCCTATTGCAATTAGAATAAAATCCAACTCCTGCCCATGGCATTCGAGGCTATGTGATCTGGCCCTTGCCTATCTTTCTGATTTCATTTTCCTCCTTTCCCATTGTTCACTACACTCTTGCCATACTGGCCTGCATTCTCTCTAGAAAGGACAAGTTCAATCTTGTTTTGTTTTGCTTGGATCACTCATTCCCTAGTTGTGGGCCTCAACTCATGTTATGACCTCTTCAGAGGCACCTTCCCTGGACATTTTAATAAAGTAGTGTTTTGCTCCCACCCAGTCACTCTTATCACTCTTGTTTTGTTTTGTTTTATTTTATAGCCCTTATCCCTCCTTTTGAAATGATCTAATTTGTTAGCACATTTATTGACTTTTCCCTCCTACTCTAACATATGCTCCTTGAAGTAAGAACTTGATCTTTTTCACTCCTGGGTTCTCAGACTCTAGAACACTCACGTAGTAGGCATTTAATTCTCAAGTATGTCATAATTCCCAAAGTTTCAGGATATCTTTTGACTATATTGGCAGGGATTGGTAGATACTGTAAGAAAGCATTCCGTATAATGTTTGAAAATTGTTATAAAGTACACTGAATTGTCTTGATGTTATAAGTTATGTTTTATTAGCAAACAGTATTTTGAAACTGATTTGTTGACATGCTTAAGGCTGGATACTGGACAAGATCAAGAACTGGCTAGAACTGACCTTCAGACATCTGGGTTAGGCTGACAATCACTACCCTAAGCAGTCTTATTAGTCATTATTATTTAGTCAGGTTTTTTTGTGGGTTTTAGTTAGACTATTGTGGTTGATAGGATGATAAAATTTGCAGTTGCCAGATGCTTGGTATGCTAACACTTCTGTCTGGTAATTTTTCAGGGTACGGCTCGCAGAAAGAAGAAGGTGGTACACAGAACAGCTACAGCTGATGACAAAAAACTTCAGAGTTCTCTAAAAAAACTGGCTGTGAATAATATAGCTGGTATTGAAGAGGTATGATCACTTTGTAAATTGTTAAATTATGTGGGCAAATAGCACATGCACAAATAATTGTCTAGACTTTTCAAATGTTAAATATCAGCTTAGAAGAATCTCTGGCATTGTCACTCAGATGTCTTTGAAGAACTGCAGTGGTTAGATTTGCTTTTTGTATGACTTTAGTAAAAAAGTTAAGGACTTTCTAATCCTTAAACTTTTCACACTCATGGCATTTGCATATATGAAAAAATTATGGAACTTCTCTTGAATTCTAATGAAAAATAAGATTTTTTTTTAATAATATAGAAGTAAACCCCAAGATTTCTTCAAATAAGGTAGACATTTTTTACTCTAAGGATGACTTTGTACTCTACAAAACCTCTTTATTACCTCAACCAAAAGGCTACAGCAATAGCTTTACATAGATTAGACTTCTTATTAGAACTCTTTCAAAAGTTATTTAAATTTTTTTAAACTAGTTTATGAATTTTGATGATACTACTTTTCTCAAATATGAGACCAAATATTGATATTATTCCAAAAGATACTCAAGAAAAATTATAATAACATCAACTACTTTGATCTGTTACCATCTGGATCCACCTCTGCTTGATGATTCTATTTCTGATAATAACCAATTTTTACATTTTCACTACGATACATTAGATTTAATTATGTCATTACTATGTGTGGTACCACCTCACAGTTTTTAATAGATTATTAATGCACATCTGCTATAAAACATGAATTAGAATTAATGTGGATAACTAATAAATAGCATAGTACCAAAGAAAAGGTAGTGAAATGGCAAAGTGCCACATGTTCCTTCCACCATGCATATATGAATGAGTAAAATTAACACATCATTTAAATCTGCTTTGTACTTTCCAAATCAGTATACTGATAAAATAGTGGAAAATGTAAGCCCCGTGCAATCTTTTTTTCTTTTAGCTTGATATGACTGAGCATTCTTACTCTGATAAAGATTAGAACATTTGCAAGTCTTGAAATTAAGCATTTCATACACAGTTTTTTCTGAACAGTTGGAAGCTTTTACATATTTTCAATAACCTAAAATAATTTTTGGAGAGATTATCCTCTTAATCTGGGATATTTTTTTAAAAAAAAAAACAAATCTTAAGTCCCTTCAGACCTCTCTTTAAAAATCCAAAACTTGGTAAAAATGAATAAGTTGCTAAAATAGACATGAACTCTGATAATGTTAAACCTAACCTACTTGTAAATGTTTATGCAATTTTATATCTTTGCCTGCCTTTTTACTCTCCAACTTCTCTGCCCTCCAACCCCAGCACTGTTGACATATTAAAGCAGATAATTTTTTGTTGTGAGAACTGTCCTGTGTATTGCAGGATGTTTAGCAGCATCCCTGGCCTCCACTCACTAGATGCTGGTAACAGCCCTACCACCCCCCCTCTAACTTGTGATCATCAAAAATGTCTCTAGATATTGTCAAATGTCCCATGGAGGCAGAATCACCTTTGGTTGAGAAACACTTCTATACAGAGAGGGAAAAAGTTATATTACATCTTCCTTGCAGTATAGATTTAACTATGTAATATCTACAAGGGCATGTTTTTCTAAATGTTTGTTTTTGCTCAGATTTGGAAGGGTTTATAGCTCTTATAATTAATAAAACCTTTAGAAGAGGGGTAGCATTACTTTTGTGAATGTTTTACAATGAAATAAGCCAGTTAGTCAGTAATCTTTGATCTCTTCAAAATACAATCAAACTTGTAATGCTGTTCTGAAGTCATGGTATTGTAGTAATCGAAATTGTCATAATAAAGTACTTAATTTGATAGTTAAGACTTACTGAACATCTACCATGTGCCAAGCATTTTGCCGGTGACTTACAAGACAGTGGTACATTATTCATGGGTCTTTCCTTTCTAGCTTACAATCTAGTAGGGAAACTTATTCGACAACTAGACAAATAAATATGTATTATCCCATTTCAGCTTCACAATATCCCTTTGAGCTGGTTGTTGGTTACACATGAAAGAGCTGAGGCTTAGAGAGTTATGTACCTATCCAAGATCACATAGCCAATAAGTGCTGGAATTCCAGTTTTGAACTGAAGTGTGTCAAAACCAGAGTTCAGGGCTGGCTCGTGGCTCACTCGGGAGAGTGTGGTGCTGATAACACCAAGGCCGTGGGTTCGGATCCCATATAGGGATGGCTGGTTTGCTCACTTTGGAGAGTGTGGTGCTGACAACACCAAGTCAAGGGTTAAGATCCCCTTACTGGTTTTAAAAAAAAAACAAAAAACCAGAGTTCATACTATTCATTAATTTATCCTGCTTTTGGTCTTTTCAGTTATACTTTCTTAGATTTCACTCCTGGCCTTTTGCTCCCCTCCTGCCCCTCTTCCCCCCAAACCCCCTTCAAAAAAAGGGAAAGTAAGAGGTATACTTGCTTTATATCCTGTATTATTGAGTGCCTACCATGCAGAATTCATCATTTACACCATTAGAGGTAAAAGAAATCTCCATCAGTATTTCCAAGGACATAGCTGTTTCTCCTTTTTCAGGTCTTAATGTAGGTGTTATTTCCTCTCAGAATCCTTCCTGGTAGCACCCATATAACATTTGTATAGATGGGGGTTAGGTGCCGTTCCTATGTGCCTCCACAATGCCCTGTATGAGGGTACTTCAAAAAGTTCATGGAAAAATGGAACTAAAAGGTTATATGAATCTTTCCATAAATTTTTTTGGGTAGCTGGCCAGTACAGGGAACCCAACCCTTGACCTTGGTGTTACATGGCCACGCTGTTAACCAGCTAAGCTAACTGGCCAGCCCTCCACGAACTTTTTGAAAACCCCTTGTAATATAGCACTTATTAAACTGTAGTGTGAATTCTTTTTTGTTGGTATTGCCACTGCAATTCTAACTTTTTGAGGAGTCATAGCTCCCAAAACATCACATAGTGAATTAATGGTACATAATAGGCATGTATACAGTTTCAGTGCTTCCTTGCCCTCCCCCCACCCCTGTGTACCTTGTCTTCCAACCCTCACAGACTAGTTGTACAGGGAAAATACATATAAAGTAATTAACAATACAAGGTAGCAACAATAAAATTTCTGAATATTTGAACTTAAGATGGAGAAGAGTTTTACTTTTTTCCTTCTTTCCCTATTGCTAAATTTGATTTTTTGAGAACCAAGATATCTGTACTTTATATAACCCTTTGCAGATACAAATTTTTTTTTTTTTAGTAACATCTGGTATACCATGTATAACCTGGCTTGCTCACATACTATTGCATTAAATGTGCACTTGAAAACATGTGTATTGTTTTCAGAAACACTAAGATATGAAAATATGTATTTGTCTTAGAAGAAACATTAATTAAATTTTTTAAATTTTTACTTCGTGCTGTTTTAACCTTGTGCAGAAACTCAGGAATAAAGTGCAGAACTCAGGAATATACTATTTTTCTTTTTTTGGCAGTTTAAGAAAAGCAGATAAAAGCTTGAAAAAAGATACCATTGCCGTTGTTGCAAAACAAAAATATTACAGTGTTTTTTGTGCTTAGACCTTCAAAGCATCAAACAAGTAGGAGTTTGGGGAGTGGGAAACAGGCAGATCAGTGGGGAGTTTCAAAAATTTATTGAATGCACTTTTGTCAAGTAAAGTTCTAGTCTTACTTTATAGGCTGTTAGTGTTAGTGATAGTTTTTCCCTTCCAAAGCTTAATTTCTATCCTTTTCAGAAACTTTAAAAAATGAAAGACTGGATTAAGACAAGCTTCCCTGGTCTTTTATGTACTCATTAGTTTATTGATTTGGTGAAATAAATTATAGGATTTTTTATTTTTACATGTTACCAAAGACAGAGAAATACCACATGTCCTCACTCATAAGTGGGAGCTAAAAAGGAAGGAAGGAAGGAAGGATACAACAATCACAATAATTAATTGAACTTTCAAAATGAGAGAAGAACTGAGGCCACCAGGGGTGGGGAAGGGCGGGAGGTTAGTGATAAATTGGTAAAGGGCCACAAAAAATGATTACATTATGTAAAGTTGAATGTACTAACTATCCCGATTTAAGTGTCATATATTGTACATAGGTATTGACATTCAACGCTGTACCCTGCTATGTACAATCAGTTGTTTCAATAAAAATAATTAATTATCAAAAAAAAGAGAAATCCAAAGCTGTCAAAAAGTAAGGGGTAGAGGAGTGTCAGAGACTGTTTCATACGAAGGCCAAGGAAATAACCAGGTTTTTGGAAGGGATTCTTAGGCATACTTGCAAAGTATAATCTAGAACAAAATTTCTGAAAATGTTTTGTTTTGTGACATTTGAAGATATTTGAAAGTGCTTCTTAGGCCAGCCCGTGGCTCACTTGGTAGAGTGCGGTGCTGATAACACCAAGGCCACGGGTTCGGATCCTATATAGGGATGGCCGGTTTGCTCACTGGCTGAGCGTGGTGCTGACAACACCAAGCCAAGGGTTGAGATCCCCTTACCGGTCATCTTTTTTTAAAAAGAAAAAAAAAAAGAAAGTGCTTCTTATTTGGCAATCTAGTTGAATATAGTAACCATGCCGTCACCTTTCTTCCCTTGATAACACGAATCTATCAACAATAGGGTCTGTTCCATTTCTCAGGAACAAATGCTTTAACCAGATTTAGTTGGTAAGAAATGTCACTAAGAAGCACTCTGATTCAAATGCCCTAGTTGTTCAAGTTGCTTTAGAGTTTCACTTTTATATTCAGAGGATAATTTCTCTCTTAATTAAGGTAAAATTCTGCTTCTGTGAAACCTTCCCTATCTTTTCAGGCCTAATTAACCAACTTTTTCTCTGTACTTTCATTGCCTTTAGCTTAAGTTGCTCTGCTATAATACATTTATTATTGCCATCTCATTTTGTGGTATATAATGGTTACTTATTAATCAAGTCGTCTGTTATCAGTGGACTGTAAGAGTCTTGACAGCAGGGATGATGTTTATATATTGTTTATATACTATAGCATGCTGACTCACC